AACTATAGAAAAGTTGAAAGGACAAGTATACAGAAAGTTAGGTCATAAATCAATTAATTATTCAACAATAAGAGCAACAATTCATCAGCACTAAAAGTTGCCTAGTAGTGCTTTTCGAATGAGCAGAGAGGTAATGGTTCTCTTTGAACCAACGTGGAAAATTTCCTTACTGACTTTCAGAAAAATGGATGGCGGGTTTTAGTTGTCTGACTTACGGCGTCTTACTTTTTAATTCAAGATTTATCATACTCTTTGATATGGTTTTCTCACCAAGTGAGATACTGCCGTACACAAATAGCGAAACCTCATTTTAGATCTGAGGTATAAACAGCGGTTGATGAACTGAATTTCACTGTAATATAAGTCACCTTCAAAGGAGGATAATTGTATAGGTAGATGAATGCTATGTGACTCTTCTGTGTATACTCACGAACGACTATAGAAATTCAGATAATATGAAGAAAAAATTTACCTTCTAGATGGTATTTTGTTTAATTGCTTTCTCTTACTACAATGGTTATGAATCGTTTGTTCCACTTTGCCGAACAGACTTCATGTGATCATGTTTTGTTATTAATTTCACATAGTTTTTGAATAATCTAAAGAAAATATTAATATTCTTTGAATGACTTTCATTTCAAAGGTGTGGTATCACTCTAATTGTTCTACACGTGGCCGTGGTTGTTACAATACACGTTTACTAGATCAAGGCGGATGTTGTACATGGTATAATGAGCCTAATTTGTTGAGTGAAATTGAAGAACATTTGGGTGTCACTATAGATACAGTAGACAAAGTTTAAATATACCAGCTGATGCCTTTGATGGAAAAGTTGTGTATGGACAGAAATTGAAACAAAGTAAGTTTCTTAAAAGTGCTTTCACATCTCCTAAATTATGTTCATAACCTTGGTATTTCAAAGCAGTCTACAATGATTTTAAAGCTCATTTTTTTAAATGCATTATATTACCTATCAGTTCAGAATACTAATATTGTTACTACTATATTCTTAAATGTACTATCAAGATAACTGTCACTTTTTCTTCAATTTTTGCCTGTTTTATTCATGCGTAGTCAAAGTAACGAATTCAGTTTTTTATATCTTTGATGCAATTCAGGAGTATGTTGTTTACAAGACGGTAAAATGAATTATTTATGTACTGGTGTTATGATTCTTGAAGTAGGTAGTAATCACGTTTGTTACAATTCTAAATCTATCTGAATCCTTTCATTTCAGTTTGATAATACAGATTTAGTACACATCGTTCTTTTGATGGCTTTAATCTCGAATCTTGGGATGAATCCACTTAGAAATATGTTGAATTTAAACCTGGAGAAATGTTACAATTTCTCATCAACTATTAGAGCGGGAAAAGGTGTAACCTAACTTTTATTGGTAATAATTTACTAGCTGATTGCTCATTCGTCATTTGAAGATCAGGTGAAAATTATTTCACGTTGGTAAAGTGTTAGCATATAAAGTGACTGTCGCAACGCAATAATGTTTTTAGCCCCGTTGTTTTTGTACTTGTCTGGTTAATTATTCTGAATATTGTGGGAGATATTGGTAGTAGTCAGTTAGCTTACAGTTTAATCATTTAATTTCATCCAGTTTGGTCGTTCAATCTGAGTCAATGTTACCAAAACCACATGAGCTAGTTATCCTGTTCAACCATTCAATTTAGTAGATCGTTCACTGGATATAAGTAACATAAAATCGCATATACACACATGTTCCATTACCTACGGAAGATATCAATAAAAAATAGGCTACTCCTCAATGTTTTGAGCAGTGTGTTCCTATGTCACCTACCGGTATTCAATCAACCATATTCAGGACTCGTTCAGGGTAAGTTAGTCATTTCTAAATATTTGCGTAGCTTGTTGTTAATTATTCACTTCAGGGCTTCATTGACTTTTGGTTTAGCGTTACCGTCTAAGGTACTCATACAAAACGTGAAAAATTATCCCAGTAACACTGAACAGACTACATTGACCCACTGTGTGAAAGTAAATATACGACATTGCATCTGAGACATCTAAATGATATGAGTTGTGCAACAGGAACTTGACATTTTGCTCTAAAGGGTGGGGAATCGAAGGTAGAAAGCATTTACTGTGAGTTATATATATATATATATATATATATATATATATATATATATATATATATATATATATATATATATATATACTTCAAACTTCTAATGTACACATTTCTAACCGGTACAGGTTTCTCGAAATCGGCAAATTTCATACTAGACATATCCCAGTAACACGTTAAAAACCTAGATAGGTCATACATATATTTCTATAGTTCTATCATGCATGCATGTTATTACAAAGGATTTGCATCAATTACATTATTCACCAAATTGTATTAACATCTCATGGTTGATAGCTGTAGCGTATAGGCTGGTGTGTAGGATATACATTTTTCTAGTTTGCTGTTAACTTTTCGATTTGTATTTTCCATTCTTATTACATTTTTTTTTCTTCTGTCTATTACAGTGGCACCGAAATACAAAAGTCATGTGGATCTTTTAGCATCTTCTGTCAAAGAATTGGATAGTCTTGAAAAAAGATCACAGCAAGATTTTCTGCGTTTACGATATGGCGGTGAACTAGCAATATGATGAAAAAGTTTTATTTTATTTTCAGTAATTGAATTGTCTATCGACTGTTTCTTGTTCTCCTTATTACTTTTGTTGACTGCACTGGTTATTCTCTTTTAAATTTGTGGACTCTATTACTCTTATTACTTCTGGCTACTATAAAATGCTGAGAGATAGTGTTCTGTGTGATTTTATATCTACTGTATTTCAGGGGAAAAAACGAGGTGCTCATAATCTTGTATTTGAGTGTTCATTGTACTTATGACAAGTAGTGGATTCAATTTGGCGAAATTAGTTTATCAGTCCCATTTGTAGTTATCTGCTTGAGAGTATTCACTGATAATGATATGCGAAAGTAGTAGGCTCATAATCAAACATACTTTAGAGTAGAAACAAACATTTTCTATCATGGGTGGCTCAAAATCTAGACTTCTGGATGCATCACACTGCACTTTATTTAAATAACTTGATAATGAAGGGGAAATGGTTAGATAGCCTTCTGTTTGTAAAAAATGCTCCTTTCAATAACTCGCTTTCGTTGCAAAGCTGCAGAAGCTGCTAACTAATAAATCAAAAATCATATCAGCAACGTGCGACTGCAAGGACCGTTGTAGGAACAACTAAGTAGCGAGATACGTTTCGTTATTTTGTCTAAAAGGACGGATTTTCATAATTGATTGTTTTAGTTGTTGTTGTATGATGGTATTTGGAGTCAGGCTCAGCAACTTTCTCCAAACCCATATTCGAACACACTCTCAGATGGTGAGGATAATTTCTAATGTCAACACGCAGAATAGTTTAATTAGATTATAAGTTCTCTCTTTTGTCAATCTATCTGTTAGCTTCTTTAATTTTTTACCATCGAATGATAGTGATTATTATTGGAAGTAAATAAATCCAAATAAATAGGTGTATCATCCCCTCAACCTCGCCTGGTTAACTAGATTACTAGTTGGTCTTAAGCCCGAATAAAAGAGGGAAGGTTGGGCATAGGGCTAGCAACCCTACCCCGTAAAACCAATCCAGTCGCCAAAGAAACTTGAAAGCACAAAGAAAACATAAAAAATGGAATTGAAACTTATTCCTCTCGGGAATCGGAGAAACTAAATGACTCCAGCTGGTGAAAGCCTTTGGGAAGCCAATTGGCCGATGTGTCTTCTTTCAATGGAAGCGAAAGTAAACATGGGGATATGGAATGTCCGCACCATGTATGAACTTAGCAATAGTGCCTAGATTGCAAAAGAGATGCGGAGGTATGACATAGAAGTGCTTGGAATCTGCGAGAAATCTGCAGATGGAATGAAAGTGGACTCTCAATGGATGAACCATTGGAGTGCAGGGATGAACAACGAAAAAGAACTCAATGCAACCTATAAAACACTACAATGGACAAAGAAGTGAAGAAGAGTGCGCGTAAAGGCAAAAGACACTTCTACGACACACTGGCAAGTGAAGCAGAACAGGTTGCAGGTAGGAGACACCTGACAACATTTTATCAAATAGCCAGATTACTATCTGGGAGGGAAGAGATAAACACATGAAACCAATGAAAGATAGCGAAGAAAAACTTAGTTACCAAAGAGAGAAACAAAAAAGCGATGTGCTGACTACTTCATAAACTCTTGGATCGACCGCCACCTGCAACTCATCCAAAAATAATGCCAGCAGCCCAGCCACTGAACTGTCAGTGAACACAAGTCCTCCAACAAAAGCAGAAGTGAAGTCCTGAACGCCATAAAGTTGCCGAAAGCAGGGAATGCAGCAGGACCAGATGGAATCCCGCCAGAAGCACTGAGAACAAACCTAGAGACAACAGCGGACATGCTCACACCACTACTGCAGAAGCTTTGGAAGGCAGGAAAGGTACCTGCAGATTGGAAGAAGGCCTACCTTGTCAGAATTCCAAAGAAGGGAGACGTAAGTCTTTGCAAGAACTGGCACAGAACCATGCTCCTGTCTACCCCAAGCAAAATATTAAGCCGCATCACATGGAGAGATTAAAAGGTGCTCTGGATTCAAAACTACTAATGGAAAAGGCCGGCTGGCTTCAGGAAGTACAAATCATGTGAGGATCAAATTAAAATGCTACGCATCATCATGGAACAGAGCATAGAATGGCAGTCAACTCGCTACCTCGACTTCATCGATTTTGAAAAGGCTTTCGACAGCGTCGACCGAGAAGTAATTTGGCAGCTACTTCAACGCTACGGAGTGCTTCAAATCTTTATCAACCTCATTTAACAGCTATATGAAAACACCGAATCCCAAGTGATCCAGAGTGGAAAGCTCAGTGGTGCCTTTGAAGTGAAGATAGGAGTAAGATAAGGCTGCCACCTACTATCACCCATGATCTTCCTGATTGTGGTGGACTGGATCATGCAACAAAGTGTGAGGAGCTGTGAGAAGATTGGCATACGCTGGCTGGATCGATGAAAAGACTCTAGAAGATTCGGGGACATCCCGCTTTAGGCCATGTCGTTGAGTAGAACCCAGACAGGAAACGACGAGTTAGGAGTGGGAAGGTGACATGGAGGAGATCGTGTGAGGAAGAAATGAAAGTTTGTGGGCAGGTGTTGGGCCAGATTCATAAGACTGTAGAGAAGAGAGTGTAATGGAGACGTGCTACTGAAGCCCTATGTTCCACTAAGAACCCAAGAGACAAAGACTATCAGTAATAATAACCCCTTATGTAATATTTTTTATCGTTAGTTCATATGACTTGATTGGTGTTTTCAGACATCTAGCTCAGTGCACACAGCACTATCAAAGTCATCCTCCTGAGCTACAAGTAATCTCCATCATCTCAAAATATCTACAGGTATGCGACACCGGTCATATTTATTGACCTATAGGCGACATTTTAGCCGTTGGCCGTGAGGTGTCTGAGTGCTAAGGGAGTTCCAAGAATGCATATCAAAGCTCTCTACTGAAACTCGCTACCGTGTAACGGTTTATAAAAAGTTGTCATCTGAAGCAATCAGAACCATTGAAGTTCACTGCCAGAATCTTCATCCGAATTTTCTTTAGCCATGCTTATGGCTACCTCTGACTGTTTGACTTACAGTATGCAGATGACATAGTCTTATTAGTCGAAAATGCAGATACTTTTGAATACACTGAGCAGAAATCTGATCTTGTTTGTCTATTGTTGTTGCACCTGTCACTTACAAGACGATGCTTTTGTAATGATCTGCACCAAATCCTTGTTGGTTGGGTAGTTGCATCTGGCTGAGTGGGTTGGTTACTGATGATATCTTGGTCCAGATGGAAAAAGTTTTTCAGGCATCAGTCAACCTACACCATCAATAACATTGGCGAGAACGAGTATACTGTGTATCAGTTTGCTTTCTACTGTTGTGCAGCTGTGATACATGATTATTTAAAGTAGAACATGAACAAATCAGACGTTATACATCATAGGTTTTTTCGTAATAATGCTCGCATGCAGTAGAAAAAACTGAGTAAACAATGTTGACGTAAGGCGTAGAATACCAAGCACGAAAGGCAAGTTCGTGTTTATGGTTGTGAGACTGCAGCGACATAGGTGCGAAATCACTGTCTACCTTGATTTGAATTGTTAGCGGAAGTGTGGTTGGGTTGAGAGTTAGCATACTAAGAAATGAGGCCTCGGCTCATTGCTGCAAACCGTGTAAGAAGGGGTTGATTGGTGCCGTCGAGCCGATCAAAATCGACTCTCAAGCATGTGTAACATCATCTATTTGAGATCTTGGAAATCTGTTTGTTATACTCATTTTAATGTTATTTATTATCAAAGGAAGTCTTCTATTTTATATTGTGGATTGTGACGATAAGAGTGGTCGAACAAAGCCTTTTGATGCCTTACCCACTCTACTCAGTAATTTTGTACTTCCATCTCTAAAAACGTTTTGTGGCAAACAATCTGATTCTTGGCTTAGTTTCAAGTTTGAATCTAAGTCCAACAGCCATCAGTTGCGCCTTTCTCTTGGTTGTTCATCAGTTTAAACTGATTGGTGTTGTAAACTACTTTGAAATCAATCAGTTTTTCACAGATTTCCCAAACAATTTTATTGAAAATAGATTGACTTTTAAAAAACATACGACATTTAGTTGGTGTTTCGAAAACAAGATATGTCATCATCAACGATCACTTTTGTAATATCAAAGAATTCCTGTCTATTTCTCGTAAGTACGAAAACTTGATTGCAGTCAATCAGTATGTTTTTTTGCTTAGATTAACAGCTGTTCCACGAAAATCAACAACTAGATACAGATATTATAAGATTGTTTACTATGTTGTAGCCAATTAGCAGATAGTATGTATAAAGGTTAATCTATCGATTATTAAACTTACTTTTACTAGAAAAAATATATATATGATGATAGATTTAAACAAAGTTTGATATTTTATTGATAACAGCATAGTCTAATTGTGTCCGTATTAACACTTAGATCAAACTTTTCTATGTAATCAGCGAAATATTTTCAGTCTAAATATAGTCAGTGTTTCTCTCAATTATAGTGTATGTTTTCTTATTGATAACCAAAAAAGCATTCATACTTCAGGAGTGCAAAATTGGCGTCTTTTTTGCAAAAATCTTATTCGGTACTGAAAGAAATCCATGTGTTATTAGGAAAGTGTTAGCAATTTTTCTAAACTTTTCAACGGAGGTTTAGATTTTAGTTAATCATCGTTTATGGGAAAACGTAGCAGATAAAATGAAGAATCCACCTGCAGTCTGTTATACATTTCTATTTTGCGTCTAATTGTCTGATATTATTTCCTATTTGTTGTAAGAACAGCATTACAGACCGTAAATGATTCTCAGAAAGAGCTGGTGGTTCTCGGCAACTTATTGTGAATTAATGGATGCAAATGAACACATCCCTGCAGGCTCTTCGCACACAATGTGCGACGGAAGCAACTTATATGTAGACTATCAAGTAGTCTACATAATAACCGCGTATAGTGGTGGTTAGCGAAGGCTAAACAGATGATAATAGGTAAAAACCGATCAAGGAAAGTGCTGCAAAAAGGTTAG